TGATGGTACCAACTTGCTTCTCTTTGTGATGCCCTGCAAAGGTGTAGAGCACTGGCGGGTGATCCATCGTGGCTAAGGATGCCTGAGATGAGAGAAGTATCAGAGGGGGAGCCGTGTTAGTCTGAATCTGCAAAAGCGGCGAGGAGTCTTGTGGCACCTTATAGACTAACAGATCTATTGGAGCATAAGCTTTCATGGGCAAAGACCCACTTCGTCAGATGCATGTAGTGGAAATTTCCAGAAGCAGGTATGAATATGCAGGCCAGAATCAGGCTAGAGATGACGAGGTGGATCCAATCAGGGAGGATGAGGCCCACTTCTAGAAGCTGATCTGGAGATGTGAATTCCAAGAGAGGAGAAGCTGCTTTTGTAGTTAACAAGCCATTCACAGTCTTTGTTTAATCCTGAGTTGATCATGTCAAACTTGAAGATGAACTGTAGCTCAGCAGTTTCTCTTTGAAGTCTGGACCTGAAGGTTTTTTGCTACAGGATGGCTACCTTTAGATCTGCAATTGTGTGTCCAGAGAGATTGAAGTGTCCTCCAACAGATTTTTGTATGTTGCCATTCCTAATATCTGATTTGTGTCCATTGATTCTTTTACATAGGGACTGTCCAGTTTGGCCGATGTATATATCAGTGGGGTATTGTTGGCACATGATGGCATATATTACGTTGGTAGATGTGCAGGAGAATGAAGCAGTGACAGTATGGCTGATCTGGTTAGGTCCTGTGACGGTGTTGCTGGTGTATATATGTGGGCAGAGTTGGCACCGAGGTTTGTTGCATGGATTGGTTCCTGAGTTCGAGTTATTATGGTGCGGTGTGTAGTTGCTGGTGAGAATATGCTTCAGGTTGGCGCGTTGTCTGTGGGTTGTCTTGAGATGAGAGAGGGTCCATAACAAGATAAATGTTGGACCTTTATTTCCCCAACCTGTCTGTCCAGATGGAAGCTCTGCATTCTGTACGGGCTCCCTGCCAGCCCGTCCTAAGGGAATGCTACTTAATAAGTCATGCGTCATGCCTGGAAGATGAGTAATTTGGGGCAGGACCCCGGGAGAAGTGAGCGCTACAGCTTAGGCCCCATCACATCTGGAGCCAGAAACGTTGTCCCTGCTACTGAATTTCAGGCCCTTTCTTTCCTGTTTCCTCACACCCGGCCTTGTCATTTCAAATGACCGGAAGACCAGAGGACTGGGGGGTTGTTTTCACTTCACTTCCTTGGCATCCTCTGTCCCGGGGGACACCCAGCAAGGCACTAGCTACCATAGATCCAACTTTTGGCTTGGCAAGAGCAGCGTCCAGGTTCAGAGGGACTCAAACAACTGGCGTCATCTTGGTGTGAAAGCCCAAAGTGAGGTAAGGGCAACGTGATCTGAAAATGTCCCATAAAATTTGCTGGAGGAAACCATCTGGACATGGAACATATTTGTCTGCGACAAAGAGAAATAGCTCCTCTAATCTTCTGACTTGGATTTTGATCTAAATCTTTCTTCTCCGCAGAGAATCACAATTGGTCCAAGTTTTCTTGCAGCTGCTTTTTCCTCTCCCCCCACACACCC